TCATTTCAGTCCTTCTCACATCTGTAAAATGAGGACAAAACTTTCCTCACATCTGCATTAATGGTGATTTATTTGTCTGAAATGAGAAGTGTTTTATCTACACTTGATAGAAAATCACATAGAAAAACACAAAGATTGTAGTATAAAATAAATTCTTAAAATAAACAACCCTACTACATTCACTACTACGTAGGTGAAAAAATGTAATTACCTCCTTCTCTACAACACCCACACTCACAGCAACAGAGTGGCACAGCACAACCTGTTAATATTCAACAAAAATAATATTTCTGTAACACTGGTTTCTGCCAAAATTCAGTGATTGCTGTTATGGCACCAAAAAAAAAAAAAAAAAGAAAAAAAAAAAAAAAAAAAGGGTGAAAAAACCACTATTGATAAACCTCATCTTTTGCATATCTTTGCTTTCTTGAAGTTGCCCACTGGACTAAATACAGCTTGTGCTAATTCCTTCAACATTTAGAAAAAAAACAATTAGTAAAATTCTTTGTATTTGACCATACCAAACACTACCATTTCTGCTTGTTTGCTCTAGCATAACTGAAGATTATAATAGGTAAAAATAGCCATTTTCCATTAACTTGGACTTTCATGATAACAAGTAGTTTAGACAGTTTTTAAGCAGTTTGAGATAACATGCACAAGTAGGTCACAGTTATACGTGGCTTTAGAAAAACGTCTTTCATCTAGAGAATTTACAGCTCTTTGCAAACAAGCCCTTAGGTAAGCAAGAATCTATAAGGCTTACTCCAACACCCAAATTCAGCCATGTATAAGTCCTAATAGCAACTACTTAACAACAGCTGAAAGAAGAATATGAAGCCTTTTGCAAACTGCAAAATTGAAAAGCCCAACTGACGTCAATGGCAGCTCTCCACTGATCCCAACGGGCTGCAGAGCAGGTCGTGAGAGTGCCCTGGGAAGGACTCCAACTTGACAGGGAAGCAAAAAGAGATTTTCAAAGTTCATTTCAGCTTCCAGTTCTATCACCAGATTTTCAAAATTATTTATTTGTTCAAGCTTCTGGGAATACTCATCTATGCCGCTTCATCTGGCATTTGGTCAAAGCATCTGCTGGAGTTGTACGATGAGGAAAGTGCTAGAAGAATGTTGGAGACCTTACATTTTCCTAAGAGCAAGAGGTGAGGGGCAGGCATGAAGGGCTGCAACAACCTAGTCTGTGAAGGGCGGAAGAAATACAGGAAAAATTCAGAAAATTAATCTTAAAGCACTGGTAAGCCAGTAGTTGCCTCAGTAACTCCTCTGAAAAATTTAGCAACCATTATTAGCATTATTGTACACGGATGGAAGCATAAAACTCTGGATCCAGAGTTCTATTCAAAGCAAAAATATATATTTTTTATTATTTGTTACATTTTATGTATTTATTTAGAATCTATCATAATGTCCTTGACTATGTGGGTAGTTTTGGTTAGGTAACAATAGGGAACTGGAGCAGAAGAGTTAAAAAGAACTGTGCAAAAGTACAGAGGTACTGCTGGATTTCAGGAGTTTCTTCTGTCATCTGTTGCAGTCAGTTCACTAGACCATGCTGCCTCCTGGAGCAAAAGAGATGAACAGAGAGCTGAACAGATTGAACGCTGATAATACTCTGATGTTTTTTACCATCCCTTGAATATTTTCTCTAGTATAGTAATAAAAATGCCACAGGTGAATGTTTAACTCTTTTGCTGTTCTTGTCATGCTTGGTATTTAATCAACATGCATACAGCTCCAAGTGCCTGATGCATTTAGAATCATAATGATCACCTTTTGGACAGCTTAACAGGACATAAAATATTAACAATCAGTATTTCCTGAGCATGCAGACCCTAATGATACAGTGGTTTTAATAAGACTGCATATGCATGAGGCAACCTGCCTTCATGAAGCAAAGGGTCCCTATCCAACATGTGAACAAAGCCCTAATCCCTTAAAGACTTACTTCTTATTCGAGCTACATTCTCATGAGTAACCTCATTAAGACCTATCATCCCATGTAACTGTGTAAAAGTAAATTAATCTGTAAAATTTTAACAACAGTAGTGTTTAAAATAGTTAATAATACCAGTGGTCTGTACTGCTTTACACTCAGCCTTTGGTCAGTATTGAATAACTCTATATGTACTTGCACAGACACACTTATTTTCCAAATAAGTCCATTTGTTAAAATTGAAAAGTAAGTATCAATAGAAATCAAAATCTTAATCTCTTTTATGAATCTTATTCACTGCTTCCCTCAAGTCCTAAGGACATAATCTCTCTCTCCAATTAATTACTCTGAAAAAAATAGATGGCAGGGGAGAGGCTGGGAAAGAATTCACCCTTCTTCTCCAGGCAGCTCTCCAGCAGAATGAAGCAGGAATCAAACATAATGTGTTGTGCAGATGAATAGAAAAGAAGGATGGGGGGTAGAGGAATAGGGAATATGACCAGTGGAAATACTCCCTGGCTTCCCATTCCATGTGGTTCAGTTTTGGGGAGTCCTCTGCAGACTTGAAATTGTAAAGTTTTTCTGTTGCTTCCTCAAATCCTAGTATCCCTGTGAAGACAACCAATCCAATCTATGTTATGAAGCTTCACTGGGTTTTCCTCACAAGTCCTATTGCAGCCTTAGCACAGCAGTGATGCTGATTTCCTTAGTGTTCTTCCAGAAATTGATTCTTTGGAGATTGATACAGTCCATTTCTTCCTAAAGCAAGAATTCTATTGTGCCACAAAGAATTATGCTGCTCTAACACCATTTATTATTTATATCTAAAATGTGTGTGATGCTTTAGGAATATGGTCCTAGCCACAAAATGCTGACAGCCTTTCTGCAGTCACACAATGCCTTCCATGTGCATGAAGCTCATTTGGACATCAACAGGAATCCAAGCAAATCAAGGTCCATGCTGAACAGCACTTAATACATGAAGATGCAGAGAAATAAAGGGATGATGGAATAAGACACATCCCTATATTCAGGGGTTTGTTGATTTGTAAAATAACATTTAGACAAAGTATTTTTTTCAATTCAGAGATAACCAGGGAGTGGGTTTACTTGCCATTATTCTGCAGGTTATTTTCTCTCTTCAAGAGATACTTAAAAGTTTATTTCTGCTTTGTTATGACAACGTTCAGAAAATGCTTAAATGTATGTCTCCAGTTTTTTAATTGGTACTTACTATAATAAAAAAGAAACAACAGAAAAAACCCTAAAGCACCAGTCTTTGGGCCACACCTGCCTCAGTTTCTCAAATTGGAAGCAGAAGTTTGGGACAAGACAAGATCTGCAGTCAAGGAGGGTTAATCTGTTCATCTCCAGCTCAGAATTACCAAACCCAGTCAGATTCTATACACAAATGAGTGCTAAGGACAAAGGCTATTGGAGTTTAGGCCATTATTAAAACAAATGCAAATTTAAAATGAAACTTCAAAATGTAAATTTCAAGACAGACGCAAATGCCCACCAGAGGTATCATCTGATGATTGGATTTACCACCACACCCCAACAGAAGCACTTGCTGGACAAACGACGGAACCAGCCAGACGCCTCCCCAGGGCTCGGCACACAATGTGTTGTGCAGATGAATAGAAAAGAAGGATGGGGGGTAGAGGAATAGGGAATATGACCAGTGGAAATACTCCCTGGCTTCCCATTCCATGTGGTTCAGTTTTGGGGAGTCCTCTGCAGACTTGAAATTGTAAAGTTTTTCTGTTGCTTCCTCAAATCCTAGTATCCCTGTGAAGACAACCAATCCAATCTATGTTATGAAGCTTCACTGGGTTTTCCTCACAAGTCCTATTGCAGCCTTAGCACAGCAGTGATGCTGATTTCCTTAGTGTTCTTCCAGAAATTGATTCTTTGGAGATTGATACAGTCCATTTCTTCCTAAAGCAAGAATTCTATTGTGCCACAAAGAATTATGCTGCTCTAACACCATTTATTATTTATATCTAAAATGTGTGTGATGCTTTAGGAATATGGTCCTAGCCACAAAATGCTGACAGCCTTTCTGCAGTCACACAATGCCTTCCATGTGCATGAAGCTCATTTGGACATCAACAGGAATCCAAGCAAATCAAGGTCCATGCTGAACAGCACTTAATACATGAAGATGCAGAGAAATAAAGGGATGATGGAATAAGACACATCCCTATATTCAGGGGTTTGTTGATTTGTAAAATAACATTTAGACAAAGTATTTTTTTCAATTCAGAGATAACCAGGGAGTGGGTTTACTTGCCATTATTCTGCAGGTTATTTTCTCTCTTCAAGAGATACTTAAAAGTTTATTTCTGCTTTGTTATGACAACGTTCAGAAAATGCTTAAATGTATGTCTCCAGTTTTTTAATTGGTACTTACTATAATAAAAAAGAAACAACAGAAAAAACCCTAAAGCACCAGTCTTTGGGCCACACCTGCCTCAGTTTCTCAAATTGGAAGCAGAAGTTTGGGACAAGACAAGATCTGCAGTCAAGGAGGGTTAATCTGTTCATCTCCAGCTCAGAATTACCAAACCCACAGTCAGATTCTATACACAAATGAGTGCTAAGGACAAAGGCTATTGGAGTTTAGGCCATTATTAAAACAAATGCAAATTTAAAATGAAACTTCAAAATGTAAATTTCAAGACAGACGCAAATGCCCACCAGAGGTATCATCTGATGATTGGATTTACCACCACACCCCAACAGAAGCACTTGCTGGACAAACGACGGAACCAGCCAGACGCCTCCCCAGGGCTCGGCACACACACCAGTGCCAGCCCGTTAATATTTCCTGAGCAGCAATAACCACCGAGTCCTGACCCTAAGCCCCCTCACCACCCTTACACTGAAGAATTTCTGCCTGATCTCTAACCTAAATCTCTCTTCTTTCGGCTTAAAACCATTACCTCTTGTCCTCTCACTGCAAGCCCCTGTAAAAAGTCCCTCCCCAGATTTCCTTTAAGCCCCTTTCAGGTACTGGGGATGATGTTCCACGGTCTCTTTCCAGGGAAATTATGATCAGTATGTAAAGACTCGCCTGGAACTAGAAGAAAATCAAATGAAGCGATTCCACTGGGAGCAGGACCAGATTGCCCATATGAAGGTACCTGCCCAGCTGCATGAACACCTCTCGACCCGTGCAGGTGGGCATCCCTGCACCTCCTCACCCTCGTGGTCATGGCTTTTGGCTCACTCTGTGTTTGTTGCAGAATTACATTGCACGATTTGGCCATGGTAGTGCCAAGCTGGCCAGGCAAGCTCAGAGCAAGGAGAAGACCCTTCAAAAAATGATGGCTTCTGGCTTGACAGAGAGAGTTGTGAATGATAAGGTAGGATAAGTCATGGGATTGCATCTAGAGATCAGTACTGGAAACATGGGCTAGATAATGGGGTGATATTTAACTGACAGAAGGAATGGCTGACACAGCTGGAAGCAAGAGTGGTGTTCCCTTCCTGAGACCAGGGGTGACTTCACTGCAATGCTGAAGAGTCAGAAGAGCAGGGATAGTTTCTAGTGGAGAGAGGGGATTTGTCATATCAGTAAGGCTATTTTGCAGACAAAGAACAGACCCGCTCCTGAAAGTGCGGGATAGACGGGTCTTCCCCCCCAGATCCCGGGCAGTGTGAATCCACAGCGACTCAGCTCAGCTGTGACCTGACGCTGAAGTCTGTGGCACGACTTGAAATTTACCCACCGAACAGCAACGGAGGACAGCAACTATACTGCATATCTATATGTAAATAGTATATACACATAAATATTACAGCGCTGCCTGGCAAAGCAATCTTGGCATTAACATACAGAACAGAGTACGCAGCTTCTGCCTGGCACCTTAATAAAAGCAGCAAGCAAACAACTGCAGAGCTACTGAAGAACAAGATGACTATCTAGCAGACACCCCTCCCCACAGCAGCCTGGCCTCCAAACCAATAAAGCCAAATAATTCCAAGCCACACCAAAAAGAACACTATGCCACCAGTTTATTAGGTGCTGGCCAGAGTAAGCAAAAGAACAACCTGGTTTGTCAAGAATTACAGGTTAGAAGACCACATCAGTCCAGGGAAACTAAAACATTAGCGCAGACTCTTAACCAATTTCAGAATGGGCAACTATGAACCAAGAAACAGAAAGCGCAATCTGCGATGCTCAGTGAGGAGCCAGCCTGCAAACTAAATGACAGGAGAGACTGAATCACACTCCTCCACTCTGCTCTGCCATACACAATGCATCCTTTTACTAGCAAGAAGCCTACACAATTTTTCCACCCAAGAAACCAATTACCAACATCTTGGGATCTAGGAAGGGTTGTGAAGATTGCATCACCATGTGTCCATGAAGCAGAAATGGGTGCTAGGAACAGATATACTTCACATTCCCACTGCTGACTTGAGTGCCCCCAGCCAGGATACCTCCTCCATCAGACCAACCCTCTGGCAGAGCCCACCACGTAGGGAGTGCTTAGGTGTAAGAAAGCTTGGGAGCAGCAGCAGAATGGACCTTCTCATCAGGTGATGCATGCACAAGAACAGAATCAGCACACCTGTTTGTCTGAATCGGTGTTTGTGTTCACCCACGGCAACGACTTTTAGTCATAAAAAGCTCTATTTGCCATGGATGACACCGATGTCCCACACACTTCAGTTCAGTCGAGCTCATCATGTCATTCTGTTCTCTTGCCCAATGCAAATGTTTCTGAATCCTGCAGCGGGAATAAAAAACAGAAAGCGCAATCTGCGATGCTCAGTGAGGAGCCAGCCTGCAAACTAAATGACAGGAGAGACTGAATCACACTCCTCCACTCTGCTCTGCCATACACAATGCATCCTTTTACTAGCAAGAAGCCTACACAATTTTTCCACCCAAGAAACCAATTACCAACATCTTGGGATCTAGGAAGGGTTGTGAAGATTGCATCACCATGTGTCCATGAAGCAGAAATGGGTGCTAGGAACAGATATACTTCACATTCCCACTGCTGACTTGAGTGCCCCCAGCCAGGATACCTCCTCCATCAGACCAACCCTCTGGCAGAGCCCACCACGTAGGGAGTGCTTAGGTGTAAGAAAGCTTGGGAGCAGCAGCAGAATGGACCTTCTCATCAGGTGATGCATGCACAAGAACAGAATCAGCACACCTGTTTGTCTGAATCGGTGTTTGTGTTCACCCACGGCAACGACTTTTAGTCATAAAAAGCTCTATTTGCCATGGATGACACCGATGTCCCACACACTTCAGTTCAGTCGAGCTCATCATGTCATTCTGTTCTCTTGCCCAAT